TTTTCCATTGTAGTTTCTTTCAAGATGGCTTGAAAACGGCTGATAAATTGAAACAATACATTGAAAAACTGGCTGCTGATTTATATAATGTAAGTTCTTTAAAAAATACATGCAGTTTAACTTGCTTTCATGGATAAATATCCCCCAATTTGAAACCTGTATTAGAAGGGTGTTAAAAAATAGCAGAAAAGGTTAAGGGATGTGTCAGTATAAACCTACGGCAGATAAGCCTTTGTTTTAACTCAGAGAAGTCATCAATGGTCACATATTTTAGAGTACCTTTTGGGGGCATAAGAGGAGCAGGGAGGGGAGTATATAATCATCGGTTCTAGATGACTCTCCATTCAGAGTTCAGTAGCATGACATTTGAGTGCCCTTTGGTCAGAAATTGCAGAAAGAATGTTCGATTATGGAAAGGTAAAAATCAATTGACTGAGTAGGCAGGTTTATGGGGGTTTTTGCTTATTTTATATTTTCTCTCTTTTTTTAGTATCTAAGTTTTGCTTTTATAGTAGGAAATCAAAAGGAAAACTTTGGGGTTTTTTTGTTTTTTGTTTTTTGTTTTTTGTTTTTTTTTGAGACAGAGTCTCACTCTGTTGCCCGGGCTAGAGTGCGTGGCGTTAGCCTAGCTCACAGCAACTTCAAACTCCTGGGCTCAAGCGATCTTACTGCCTCAGCCTCCCGAGTAGCTGGGACTACAGGCATGCGCCACTGGCTAATTTTTTCTATATATTTTTAGTTGTCCAGATAATTTCTTTCTATTTTTTTAGTAGAGATGGGGGTCTCCCTCTTGCTCAGGCTGGTCTCAAACTCCTGAGCTCAAACGATCTGCCCGCCTCAGCCTCCCAGAGTGCTAGGATCACAGGCGTGAGTCACCGCGCCCGGCCAGGAAAATCTTTTTTGAAAATAATACTAAATGCTTATGTAGAAATGGCAAACTTGTTGCACGTAAATCATCTGGTGATAAATGATATTAAAAGCATATGTATTATGAATATAAGTAAATATCTTCAAATAAGATTTTGGGATTACAAATAATACCTTATATTCCTATGTAACTTTAAAAATACATAGCTCTGAGTTTTTTAAATTTTCTTTTAGTGGTTAACATGGTTCAGGTTGCAGTTAAGTTCCAAGTGATTAAAAGAAAGCAGCACCAATCCCTTGTCCTCACATAGCGCTGTGTAAACTTTCATGTATGTATTGGCCCATTAGATTCCTGGTCATACTATGATTCTTTTCTGGCCTATTTAATCACATCATGGTATTCCTACTTCCACCCTTTGAAAAACAAGAAGCAAATGATCTCAATGATACTTCTTAACCTTATTTAAAATAGTACTTCAGAGTTAATTGCCTAGCCTAGATGGATTATTTAATAAGAAACCATGTTAC